GTATGAATGAATGTTTTGGCTTGCTTGACCCAGTACTTTAAGAGACTAGGGAATTGATATTTGATTCCTATTTTGTTTAAGAACTCAAACACCACTTGTGAGACACCTAGTAGTTTGTTCAGTTCAGAGTACCAATTAGGATCAATTACCAAAGTCCGAGGTGGTTCTGGTTCCTCAGTGGGAGCAGCGACATTGGTCACAATGACTTGTGACTTTTGTTCAGGCCACTGGTCACTGACTAGCCACTGATGTCTATTGAACCACATCTCTGCTTTAGATAATTGCTGTAAAGTCAGGCCTCGGGAGAGATAGTCAGCTGGATTTTTTTTGGTGGGTAAATATCTCAGTTTGTACCCTGCAGACAACTCTCTAATTTCCTTAACACGGTTACTCACGTAAGAAGTTTTACTGGTGTTATTTCTCACCTACTGTAGTACTGCCTCATTATCTGACCATACCACTGTTTCTTCAAAGTGGATGTTACTTAAGGTTTTGAGCAGATAATGAGCCAAATTTACTCCTAGCAGTAGAGCTGTTAATTCCAGCTGTGACAATGACTGTTTCTTCAACGGTGCCACTCTGGCCTTTGACGTAAGCAAATCTGCTTGCTCATTAGTTACTAGGTAAGCTACTGTGCCATAAGCCTTTCCTGAGGCATCACAGAACACATGGAGCTTAATTGGTTGATTTTGATGTACTGTGTTTCGAGGGAACTTGACAGACTCTAGAATACTTAGATCCTTCACTAGCTCCCTGCCACTTTTCTTGCAAGACAAGGGTTAGTGGATCATCCCAGCCTATCTTCTCTTGCCAGCATTCCTGTAATATCAACTTCCCATTTATCAATATAGGACTTACTAGTCCCAAAGGGAAGGGTTTGCTGACTTGGGATAGTAGTTTCCTCATTATTAGGTTGTGGTGTTTGGTTCCACCGATTTGATGGTCAACTGATCTGTAGATGTATCCCATTCGACACCTAGTACCTTTGTCTTCTGGGGTACCGTGTAGTTGGGAAATTCTGACTATGGATCAGTTGTTTTAAGATGGTATTATTGGAGGACCACAACTGGAGAGACATATTTGCTCCCAACAACTCAATTGGCCTCGTGGTATATGTTCAGCAGTTTACTTTCACTGCTAGTTATTCCTTGGAAATTGTCCACATACAGGTTGTTGCTAATTTAAGTTATATTTGGGCTATTAGACTTCTTTAAGTGAGTGTCTAAGATTGCTTGAAGCAGAAACAGTGAAGAAGTAGCACCAAACAAAACTGATGCAAACCTGCATGTGATTATTTCACTGTATAGATTGCTAAGATCCTTGATCCATAGGAAATTTGTGTAGTTATAGTCATCTCCCTGGAGACCCACCCTAAGAAATGCCTTTCTTATATCGGCCGTGTATGCATAAGTCCCTATGTGGAGTTTAACAGCACATCATACAGCCTCTGTGTCAGGCTAGGGCCAGTTTGAAGGCAGTCATTCAATGAGACACCATTCTGCCTGGTCTTGGCACTGCAGTTAAATACTATCCTCATTGGGGTAGTGGCAGACTTTTCAGTATGGCATGGTGCGGCAAATAATGTCCTTCCTTAGGATCATCATTGGTTACAACTTTAAGGAATTTGTTATCGAGTTGTTGTTGGATTATACCATGGTACAATTTCAGGTTCTCAGGTTGTCTATTTAAGCACATCACCTGAGACCATAATTGATTTTGTGCCATGAAATGGTTTGCTGGCAGTTGAGGATGATTCAGCTTCGATGGTAACCTGGCCCAGTATTGGTTGTATTTGTAGTCTGCAATGGACTTTGTAGACAAGCACACAGGTACTACATACACAACACCCATACTAATACCAAAACTGGACGAACAACTACCTAACCAGCACACCCTGGATCAGGGTGGAGAGCCGGGAGAACTACCAAATCCCACCAGAAGTGACATGCAATATGGGAAATCATTCACATTGGCAAACATACAAGGCCTAAAGTCAAAATCAAGAAATAAACTTAAGTTCATAAATGGCCTTCTAATAGAATCAAACTCAATATTTGGTGCATTTATAGAAACCCACACAAAAGATTATATGGATAGTGGAATCTGGATCCCAAATTATAATATATATATAAATATATATATATATATATATATATATATATATATATATATATATATATATATATATATATATATATATATATATATATATATATATATATATATATATATATATATATATATATTGGTGTATACTGGCAGCAGGTTTTCTTTCAAACATGTTTCATTGAATATGACCGCATATTCTGTATTTATTATTTTCTGGTTTAGGGCTTCTATCCCTCTAACTATTTTCTTAGCATCAGGGCTTAATTGAAATAGGAGTTCTCCAAAACTCATTTTCGTACTTTTAAGGTGAAGAAAAGAAGTGATTTACTATAGAGTGTATTACACTTATTTGTATAATTTGCACGACGTTTCGAACCTCCATGGTTCATTC